GCCAGATGGGTAAGCCAAAACCTGAAGTCAATTGAATATATGGCTGAATTGAGCAAAGAAGAAATCAAAAAGAGAAGTAACAAAATGGAAGGAATTACAAAAACAGAAAAAGAAGAAAACATACAAATAGAAGAATCAAAAAAAAAAAGACAAGAAGAAAAACCAGAAAAAAAGATAGAATCGAAAGAAAGAAATGCAGAAGAACCAATACAACAAACTGAAAGTAAGAGAAAGGGAGACAAACAAACAGAAATTATAGTAATCTCAGACTCAGATGCGAGCTCATATGACTGGCTTAAAGAGAAAGGTATTAAAGTGAAAAGATAAAGAAGCACCAATAAAAAGAATTGCGAGAGATGAGATTAAAAGCATTAGAAAAGAGATACAAGAAATAAAAAAAAGAGACCAACAAGACTTGCTAGCAGAGATAGCATGCGATCCAATAAAATGCAGCATGTGGTTACCAAATAACAGAATATGTGAAGGTAATAAATCATTTGTTGCAAAAGCATATGTATACAAAGTACCAGGAAATACACCTGAAGAAAGAGTCGCAAACTTAGAAGGTATCTTAAGCAAAGACAAATATATGAAATCAATACAATAGGTATTCAGAAATAGAAATAGTTGGATAGAAGTAAAGTTCGATTGCGAATATAGCAGAACAAATGCAATCAAAAGAATTGAGAAGAAAGAAGGAGACTAGCTTTGGCTCATTCCAGAGTTGGATAACGAAGAACAAAAACCTGCCCAAAGAAGCAGAGAGAATAATTATAAAAAAGAGAGAAGCAGGCGACAAGAAGAAGAACCACAAGCCTTTAGAAGAAGAGACCTTTATGAAAAAACAGAAAGAAAAGAAAAACAATATGAAGAAAGCAGAACAGAACACACCAGATATATATATATATATATTTTTTTTTTTTATTGGTAGCCTCGCCAGTATCTTTATTAGATCAAAGCATATATATATATATATTTAAACTATCTAAATTACCAATTCGACATCATTCGGCTGCCTTATTAGGTGCCTAAATGCGGTCTACCTCACTGGTTAAAGCATTGCCCGTACTGGAGGGCTGCACCAAGCTAGCTAGCGAAGCCATAATAAAATGGCCTCAATTTAAAAAATTTTCTTCAAGATTCTACTAATGATTAACCTCTTCGCTTTATCCTTCTCATTACAAAAAAAATCTAAATCTACTCTACTATCTAATTTAGCTTTGATTTTAACTCTATTATAGCCAAATTCTTTTTGTTTATATTCAAGCTTCTTTCTTTTCTTCTAGTTTATTTTGTCCAAGCTGATAGGAGATCCGGCACTTGGGAGTCTTCTATTGTTTTTCTCTTTGTACTTTTCTTTTCGTTTCATGGCTTCATATTCTTTCTCCTTTTCTAAAGCATTTATTCTAAAGATTTTCACTAGGAGTATTTTTCTATAAACCTTCTTTCTTCTTAGCTTTCTTGACGATATTCTTGAATCTTCTGCTTCTAGGTCTTGATTAATCTATTTGTGTCTTCTTTTTCCCTTTCGTCAGAAACAAGCTTTTAGGTCTTTTGTTTCTATGTCTTGATTAGTCTATTCAGATTCTTCTTCTTTTCTATTCTGCATTTGAAAACCTTTCTTTTTCTTCTTTTTCCTAGAGCCTGGTTTTCTGCCTAGAAACTTCTCTTGTATTTCAATAAAAATCTTTTGATTTCTAAACAGCTCTATTAAAATTCGTTCTACTATTTCTAATACTATATCTTTCTTTTTCCTCTTCCAATTCTTAACTCCCTTTAATCTTTCTGCTGATATATCTTGAATCAGACTTGTGTTATTAATCTATTAGAATCTTGTCTACCATATCCATTCTACTAGCAAATCTTTTCTCTTCTTTTTCCAATTTTTGCCTTTAATCTTTGAGTCTTCTTTGCTTGCTTGATATATTATTTTTATCATTCACTCTGCTGGGGGTAAAAATAAAGTCTTCGAACTTGTCTCTGTTTGAATTTGTTTCAAAGTTTTTGCTTCTATAAAGCCTTTAATAACTTGTTTCTTAATTCCCTTTTTTCTTTTTTCTTCTTTAGCTTTTTTCTCTTTCTTATGCTGGTTTGCTGTGGCTACTTCAATAGATTCTTTAAATCTATTAACTAGTGCTTTCAATGATATTTTGTTATGCTATTTTTGTCGAATTTTCCTTTGTTCTTGAAGTCTTTTGCTCTAATCTAGTTCTAACTTCAACTTTATTTCAGCAGCTTGTTTTTTTTTTGTCGAACTTGCATCTTCTTCTTTTTTTCCTTGATTTTCTTTTTAACTTCATACTAGTTTGCTGCAAAGATTTCGATAGACTCTTTAAATTGTTGTACTATTGTTTTCAAGATTTTTTTATTGTGCTACTTTTGTCAATTTTTCTTTTGTTCTTGAAGTCTTTTGTTCCAATCTAAATCTAATTTTAACTTTATTGACTCCATTTCAGCAGCTTGTTTTTCTTTAAACTTTATTATCCATCTTATCCTATTAGCTATTTCTAAGTCAGCTAGAATGTTGTTCATTTCTTTGATGTATAATATATCTAACTGGGTCCTCTTCTTTTTATAGTGCTGCATAATAATCATGGTTGTTTCTTTTTCTAAGTGCAAGTTCCATATACTTAATTTTACCTGAATTATATTTCTATAATTCTTCATTAAGTTTTGCTATTTATACCTCAACTTTTTCTTCTATAATAAGTTTTTTCCCAGCATATAATGCTAATATAAGATCTATTGAGATATCTTTATTTTTGTTAAGTGCTTCTACTTGTGCCTCGAATTCTTTTGGTACAGTAATCATTCTTCCAGAATATTCTGTTTCTTTTTGCTTCATGTGACTTGTTGTTTTTCTGTTGTTATTTTTTGTTATTGTTGTTGTTTGTTCAAGTTGTTTACTATTTTTGTTTATATTCGTCATGTAGTTTTTGGCGTGTTTCCTTTGTTTATTCTTCATTACATATTGTAATTCTTGTATTACCAAAACAGATCTGCATTACAGAATCAAGGCCAATTCCTCAAAAATTCGCAAAAACAAAAAAGACCGATAGTTTCACACAATTTTTTCTATCTCCTTGCCGCCTTTGCTCCTCTAACTCAAGTCTCTTAAGAGACTAAGTGCTTTTTACTATTCTTTTCCTTTTTTCTTAGAGCTTTGAATCTGGTTTCTTATTAACTTTGTGTATTTTTTGAAGTTTTTTTAATAATTTTTGTTTATATAAATTTGTGTACAGAGGATCAGCGTAAAAAGTTGAATTAAATATTACTGGATGCACCAGATATATTACTATCTGGAATCTACCAAAATCAACTAGTACAAAAGAAATTCAGTATATATGCAAAAAATTTGGTAGACTGGAAGACATCAAGATTAAAAGAACAGAATTCAGAACGGTAGCAGAGGTAGAGCTAGGATTTAATGTAAAGGATTACAAGTTGCTTTGGGTTCTACTATTAGAAAATGGAAGGTTAGCGCAGATTTCTAAAGGTAAAGAAAATAGAGAAGTAATGAGTAGCCGCTTTAGATACATTATAAAACTAGATGGCATTTCAGAAGGAGCTTCAGAAACATTATTACTAGGCTGTATTAAAGAAAGAGGAGCAAAGGCAGTATATATTCCAAGAAAAAGAAATG